GCAAACAATGCCGACAATAGTCACACTCACCTGAGATGTTTGGAGCGTTGCAAAAACGTTTTCACACAGATTTTGACAATTCTGTCGATTGGAATGGATAGAGAAGCAAGCAGCCGATAAATGTAAACATATAAAAACGTCATATGTGCGCGTGACGATGAAGAAATGCTAATAGAAGCACGAAGGTTGCTTAGATTGACGAGAATACGTAAATTCACCTACCCTAATAAACGAGCACCATACATGAACGATACCCCAAATCGTGCCACCGTACCGCATATTGTTGGGATGATAACCCGAATAGGTTGTTAGGCACTCCTTATGGTTATCGTTTATGCGGGTAGATAATAAAACAGAAAAAAAATATTGGTGGAATTTCTTGAGATTTTTTAGTTTTTTTCTAGCGTCCTGAAGAAACCCCTACCTTAATTCAAAGTGGTTTCTGATTAATTGACAAGATCATGGTGTTCTAGTTTACGACATATTTGAACTTTCTACACTGGTGGTCATTTGCATGTAAAATCGAGTGCTGAATCCAAAAATGTAGTCAGAAAAAATCCCAGTAGGATAGTTTTATAAATACAGCAATAAAAATTAATTTCACTCAAAACAACTTTGTTTACTAAAATACATATATCTCTGGCTGTAATGAAGCTATATCATTTATTTTACGCCAAAAATTTGCTTTCGATCAACTGGACATCATTTTTTAGTTAGATTAGTGGTATTGTTGGCAACCACTACAAATTATTTTTCTTGCTAAAAACTTAGCTTAAATCCAATTTAAAAAAATAAAAAATAAATAAAATAATAAACAAACTATTTATTTACAACAATACCACTAATCTAACTGAAAAATGATGCCCAGTTGTTCGAAAGCAAATTTTCTCAGCTTTAATTTGGCGTTAGAATAATTACATGGCTTTATTACAGCAGGAAATATTTTTATTTAAAAAACAAAGTTTTTTAAAGTTAAATATCGTTTTTTAGCTGCATCTAGAAAACTATCCTACTGAGATTTTTTGACTACATTTTTGGATTCAGTGCACGATTTTATTTGAAGTTCATTTTTTTTTAACTTTCATTTGCAAACTAGTGTTATCACAGAGCTTTGGGGGTGATGTGGCTGGCAGCAAGACGAGGGAACGTTCAATGAAAATTAACTCAAACAAGACTAATTTATGGTTCAACACATATGAGGCTGGCGAGCTTTATGTTGTTTGGAACAAGGGTGACGAGCAACTGAATCCGACTGGACGCTCATGTGTGCTGCAGCTTCGTTGTGTACTGGAGAACAATGTACAACGCAACGCGCCGAAAACACTGCTGGTGCAGCTGCTGCTGATGACGACCGACCGGACACGGTGATTTAATAAGCACAATTCGGCGCGACCGGATGGAATTCGGTTGTAAAATCTGTGTTAGGGAAAGCGCTTTTTGCAGGCAATCGGAGATAATTTTGATCACCATTGCAACAGTTGAACATTTGGATAATTTTCAATAGTGACCTATTGAAAATTGATTTGTAGAAAAATTTCCAATGGATTGGCTTGTTGAGAATTAAAATTTATCCGCTATTGACACAGTTATAAGTGGTCAAAACCTGACCACTTTTCGTAACGCGATCGATTTGGAGTTTTTTTTAAATTGCGCCCCCAATATGTTACCGAAAGACGTAATCCTACGTCAAAAAAACAAATTGTAGAAAGTTATTAACCACAAGAAGCAACGTTTGAAGAGAAATTCCCGATGTTTCGAACTTCTGCATACCGCAAAATTAGTGTATCCACCACTGGCGGGGCGACATCGTTCGGATTTGAGGGCGGAAAGTATTACCCAACACCAGTTTTTCACATAATAGCTATTTATGCAACAAGTTGCAAAAAGAAGACTTTTTCAACACGAGTCGTAGTTTATCCAACGAGCCTTGCCGAATTGAATAATTCGATAAGTGTTGAAAAAATCTAAATTTGAAGCGAGTTTGCATACCTCTTTTTTTGCAATCAAATTAGTACTTTTCGATACTGTTTGTGTTATGAAAAGTAGGCCATTAAGTTATTCAAAATAGTGTCGAAAAGTGACACTTTTCAGTAATGAGTGATAGTAAATCCACAGACAGCAAACAGACATAACTCTACTAGCTTCTATTGAGTACACTATCACGGGCAGTACGCTCAACAGATGGCGGTGTGTAAACGTCAAACGCAAGGGATTTACCTATGCGCGATACAGACGTTAAATCGTTAAAAATCGAACACGCGTTCGACGAAAAACATGCAAAAGTTATGTCTGATTGTCTGTAATAATTCGTACATTTTAACGAAAGCTGATTTTAGATTCAGATTCAGCGAACCAAAACTAAGAATAAGAGAATAAGCCATTTTGTCGAACACTGCACCAGAATAATTACTAATTCTGATAGGATGTCTAGGAATAGTTAAATGTTGAATATTTCTCACTTCAACAAAATTGTACATTTAGAATGGTTGAATTCACCATTTCAAAAGTACTATGTAAAACTACTTAATGAAATTCTAAACAAATTATCTTACAACAATTGAGATTGAGAAACGGAAATTTAACGGTTTAGTGATCAACTACATCCTGTTTTACGGTACTAGATGTTTTTTTTTTTCGCAAAAAGATATAATTTTGTGAAAATCAACATTTTCCAGTTTTTGCTTACTCAAATCGCCGTCATTTTTTTTTTGCGCGAAAAATCATTGAAGAACTAAAATGCTTACCTTTTGATATCAAGTTATAAATAAATAAATAAACAAAACAATTCCACTAGCACTGTACAGTAGCAGCCTAGCAAGTAAATTTTAAATGAATTGATTGATCATTGTTTCGAAAATTTGTAAGCACGGTAAGTAATTACACATTCACATCAGTAATACCAACAATCAATACGAAACTAACGATTTTAAATTGGCTCACTACTTGACTAGCCTATTGGTCCCAAGCAAATTGACTGACGTACCCCATTCTAGTTGAAATTCTAGTACTACACTATGTTTGTTTTGATTAGTTTGACAGATAAAATGAGGGGTTAGTGGATTTTCCCATGTTTCGAGGGGTGAATCGATTAGCTCGTTTCTTCGGGACCTTCTGGTCTTAGAGTTACCTCTATGGTAATACACTGTTCCAATCTAAATTCACTAACAGTCAGTCAGTAGTCTTAAACAAATTTGCCGAAGGCAGAAAATATATTTTATTTGGTATTTAGATATACATCTAGTATAAGAAGCATACTAGCTAGCGCCTCATACAGACTTAGAAAACATTACCGACTTCGGTAATTTTTACCGAACTTTCAACAGCTTAACTGTTTGGTAAAAATCTGCCATTTTTTTAATTAGTATTTAAACATTATCGATAATTTAACGGATTTAGACGGACAGTGTTTTGAAATTGAAATTTAGTGCAACAGTTTTTGAAATGAGGGTCAAAGTTTTACCGAACGTTCAGCTGTTGAAAGTTCGGTAAAACATTACCGAATTCGGTAATAATTTGTGTGTGTAGCAATTGAATTATGAACCAAACCATCAACCCACTAGACTTTTTTTTCTGAATGAACAATGTATACCAAAGACAGCATGCTTCATTGTTGTCAGGACCCTAGCTATAATTTAGTATGGGAAGTAAGTCCGTATACATATTGCGCTACCTATTGAGTGAGTTCCTAGATGAAATTCGATCTTTCCTTCCTGAGGGAAGAACTAGCGCCATCTACAGTTTTTTTTTTTTCAAAATAACCACCTAAAACCATACAGAAGTCAGTATCTCAAAGCAACTCTTGGATTACTTCACCCACATTTACATAAAGCATCGTAGGTTCAATTATAATTACAAAATATGCCTCATATATACGCAACATATGACCCCGCGGGCTTCGAAAGGTTATGTCCGCTTTGGCGGTAAAAACGAACTGATTTTGTGCAATGGGTGCAATGTTACACCTGAAAAATGATAAACAATTTGAACAAACACGCTCATCGTTAGTCAGCAAAATTCCCCCATACAGGTTTGAGCTCAAAAGTGTGTAGAACTAATCGTCCTCAACCGCACATACGCATACACACTAGCGTAATAAATTTGAGTTTACATCGTCTGATGTTATATTACGGTCGGCAACTTTCATTTAGGCACGTAATTAGCCGAAAAAGGGCAAAAGCGCTAAAGTTGATAAGAAAATTCGATAACGTTAATTATTGATAGCCATATCGAGTTTCCGGGTTAGCGCTTGGAAACTCCTTCATGCTTGAAGCTAAACCCCAAATTTTACCACAAAAACGATAAGTGAAACCTTACTAAGACGGAGAGTAGGTACATAGAAAGTATGATATTAAATTGCTATATTCTATATATGGCTAAGGGTAGATAAGTGATTGCAATCCCGCTAGGTGAATTACACACACAAAAGCGTTTGTCATCGAGTGCTCAGTTGTTGTTTGTCATTAAGCACCGCTCTAAACGACTTGTCTGCCATAGATGACTTTCCAGTTTTTAGCAGAGATGCCAGGTGTGCAGATATGTCTGTAAAACTAGATTTTTCGTGGATAACGAAAAGAACTGAATGTATGTCTTATCTACATAATTTGATCAATGAGCGCCCTTCCCATCCTCCGTCCCCGGCTCATCACTTTGATGTCGACGTCAGTTTAGTTATGTGTTATCAGTGGGCTTAAATCCCACCCCCGCTCTTCACTTTCAGTTATACAGTTATACATCTTGGAAATGTTATGGACAGTCCAATTGCAGACATGTCTGAAAAATTTACAAACATTTGGATCTCTCACCGCAGATTTTTGAAAATCAAACCTGGCATTGCTGGCATCCCTGGTGTTGAGAGCTTTCGACAAAGGTTGGCACGTTGCGCCTATCTCTACACGACAAGTTATATATGAGTGGGTTTGTCTGAACTGGACAAAAATCCTCGACTTATACTTCGATACGGTAGTATAAATCAAGCACCGCCATCGAAGATCAGGTTTTTTATTCCACCCGAGTCCACTCAGTTCAATTCAAGCACTCGAACCGTCAGCAACGTTGAGAAACCAATCAAGTGCGCGCCCAGCAACAACGGTCAGTTCAGTGTGAAAAACACAACTTTGACAAATACATCACGTAATCGCCATCCTCGGAATCGAAAGTCAGTGTAAAAAAGTTTGAAATTCGGTAAGTTCGATTTTGATACGTTCGGGGTGAGTCAGTCACGTTCTCTCCGAATCAGATGACCTATGACCTCGAAAAGAGAATGTTAATTAACGACCAGACGCACGTTACCTTCGCCGTTCGATTTATAATGCAGATAAAGGCGCTCAAGTTTTTGAATTTCACAACCTGCACCTCATACAGGGCGGTAACGTCATACAGCCCGGTTTAGGTGTTAATTATTTATTCGCTATACGAACAAGTGTCGAAAATTGACGGCTGCAAATGTTAATACGGTTGATTTAAGGTGCTTGAGTAGGGTAGTGCAGTCGACGAATAGATGTTCGGTCACGGTTGCCTTATTATCAAAAAAAAGTTGGCCATTGAAACTACTGCCGACATTGCTTTTCGAATGTCATCTGAACGATCATTTTAAATTTAGCTGAAATGTTGCACAGTTGTTCCATTTTAGCGTCACAAGGACCTTTCCCATGTGATGTTGCAAGAAATGACATTCGGCTTCAATTCCGTACTTTGATTTGAATTTTCAAAGGCTAGAAAAAAAATCTGATTATTGTTCTGTGACGCAGCTCCATCGGCTATGAAATAAATCTTATTGATTTTTTTTTATTTTGGTTGATTCGTAAAAATCTAATCAATTTAGAAATATAAAAGATTACTGCCCCAGACTCATGCTTTAACTATTCACAAATTATTATAAAATTAAAATGTTTAACTTTCATATTTTCTTTAAAATATATAACAAACGGATGAATGATAGCTTGTTGCACATTCCAGTGATGAGATTGAACATCATCCTGTAAAACAAAGCTGTAGTTTTCGGATAAATCGCAAATAGCTAAAAATTCACCTTTTTGCAAATTATTTCGTGTAGTTTTCAAAAAATTTGTTTTATATAATCGTGCGATATCAAACTTGTTAATTCCAGCCAGGGAAATGAAACAAACTCATTTACCGGCTTTACAATAGTTTCTACATCACATCTATCAGTGGTAACCCACTGTTCAAATGAGAGCATATAGATGCATTTTTCCTCCAATTGATTTAATAAATTGTCTTTTAATGCAGAAGAGTCTGGACGGTTTTTACAATACCGTAGATAGTGGCAGCTCCCACATCTGGACCCTACCTATCGACCCACCAACTCATGAACCGGGAACCAACGGCTTTACTTCCCTTCCGAAGGAAGGCGTGATCAGATATGTTATGCCTCAGAACATCCCGGCAGCGCCGACTGGGATTGAAACCAGGCCTGCTGGGGAGAGAGGAAATCACGCTTACTTGAATGGCTTGTCGTTTTCCTTCTTTCTGCACATAAACATACTTTTTGTTATCAGGCATTGCTCGGCTTATATCATCATCTCCAAAAAAATGTATGACTGCCTCTTTTGTTTCATCACTTAAGGTTTTGCCATATCTTGCGGTTTTCGACGAATAACCTTCTTTTATCAACTTAGCCACTGTCTCAACATATCTACTAGGATATGCAAAATTTTCCTTCATGTTTTGTATAACTTCGTTGGATTCATTCACTTCACCATCTTCAGGCTATAATTTGAAAAGATTCTTCCTCGCTCTTCCTTTATTTAACGTCGGCACTGTTTCGCAATCTAGTTCCAATCACCCATTGAACACACATGGGCCGGGACCAACGGCTTTACTTCCCTTCCGAAAATTTTTATGCCTCAGAAAAATCCCACCGACCTCGGCTGGGATTGAACCCAGACCCATTGGGGTGAGAAAGCAGTCACGCTTACCACTACACCATACGGCGCCGGCTAAAAGATTCTTCCTAATACCTTCGTGGATTTCACGGTGCTTCTTTTCGGGGTGGTGGACGTAATTGAGCTTTCCCACGTCTATCGGTGATATCTGGATTCTTGCAATACCTCGGTTGAATATCGGTCGATGTTGACTGGTTGAGTGAATTACTGGTACGATTGAATTGTAGTTACTGATGTCGCTGATGGTACATTTGTACAGAGTCGATGTTGTAATAAGAGTCCCGCCAAGAGAAAATGCTGCGAACAATCAGCACTGTTTGTGATTTTTTTTTTCGCCAGAGTAAACGGCAACCAGATTTTTGCGTTAGCATCGGATGACTTTCATTCAGAAGTGAAAAATTTCATTTCGATATCGGAGCTTCTGGGAGTCAAAAAAAATTATAGAATCTGAAAAATGTCTAAACAAGTGGTTGGTATAACCACAAACGAAGTGACAGACGGAGCGGCTCGAAAACTTTGGAGACGAACCTGCTATTGCAATTTTTCAGTGTACCACATACCGTGCCAGCTCCATATTTGACGCGTCCCTAATGATGACGCACTCGTCTAATTTTTATCGCATCTCGATTTTGACAGGATATTTTTTTAAACTTTGTTACACCATCATCCACCTAGAGCACAGGAACAAATATGTGCAGAAGTAACATTTCAAAAACAATGATTGAAAATAGTCGAACATTATTGAGTGCGTCAATTTAGGAACCGCATCGAATATGGTGCCTCCACGGCAGCAACACTACTACTGGATTGTTCTAGAATTTTCACCAAATGTAATGTTTTGCCTTCAAAATCGTTATATCTTTCAAGATATATGCGGTAGTAAGCAATCTTTGTGACCAACTGCTAGTTTTCACCATTCGAACTCCTTTAAGTATCAGATTGATAGGTACAATTTCTACATTAGGTACAGACATATGTTTTGACGTAGGATTACGTCTTTCGGCTACATAGTGGGGGTGCAATTAAAAAAAAAACAAAAATCGACCGCGTAACGAAAAGAGGTCAGGTTTTGACCACATATAAATCTGTCAATAGCAGATGGATTTTAATTCTAAAAAAGCCAAACGATTGGAAATTTATCTACCAATCTGCTTAAATGAACACTTTATTAATTATCACCGTTTGCCTGAAAACAGCGCATTCCCTAACACAGATTTGAAAATCGAATTCGATCCTGTCTCACTGAACGGTGCTCATTCAATCACCGTGTGTGGTGGTGTCCGGTCGTCAGTGTCAGCAGCACCAGCAGCACAACGAAAGGCGGCCTGCAAGCAGTGATGCCACATATACAGATTTATCTGTAATCATACAGATTTTTGGCATTATTTTGATACAGATATCTGTATATACAGATTACAGATTTTTGAAAAATATACAGATTTTTCAGATTTTTCAAACAAAGAGAATGTATTTTACATTATTTTTTAATATTTATTAATTTCGATAAATAATTAGCTTCGAATGGACCTCTGATGTTCAGATGTTCTGATTTCTCGTTGCAGGGATATTAGTTTCCCTTTCTATTTGTTTAACTAACCATGTCACATGGTGACAGATACGAAGGTTAATTAAATATATGTTTTGTTAAATCGGTGAACAAGCCATTTTAGAAAAAAAAATACACAAAGTGGTTATACCTTTATATTTTTTATATATCAAAAGCGTAATAACAGAAATACAGAATATTGCATGTAATTTGACAATACTCCCGGTAAAATTTCTGTGTTATGTCCAATTTCCATATAAAGGTTTTCGTAATCTCAGACATTAAAAAACACAAATTCAAGGGAATTGTGATAGTTACTTCATAATATATTTTTGAAAGCTTTTCGCATATTTTGGATGTTGTGTACTAAGATACAGTTACTATTGTTATTGTGAACAACATTAAGGCCTAAAATACGTCAATTTTCTTACATATTAAATGAATAGTGGCGGAAAAATTTAAACTTCATGTTCTGGTTTGTTTACGTTTTGGACATAGGCCCATTTCAAATGTTACTCTAGAATTTTCTCAATGGCGATTTACGTAAATCCACACTGAGGCCATAATACAGAAATTATACAGATTTTTTTTTTTGACTGATTTTTGTCAGCCAGATACAGATTAAAAAGATTTTTTACGATGAAAATACAGATTGAAATTTGGAAAAAGGTGGCATCACTGCCTGCAAGCAGCGAGCTGCAGAGCCCACATTACTCAACCATTACGACAAAACGGTCCTTTTTAGGATCACCATAAATTATTGTTGTTTAAGAGTTAATTTTCATTGAACGTTCTTAAGGTTTTCTCCAGGATTTTGGAAAAATTTGAGCAAGAAATTTCTCCAATCAATATTCCCTTTTTTTAATCTATTGAATAAAACAAAAATTTCGTGCGTTTTGTGCACGTAAATGCATATTTTTATCACCAGAAAACGAGGCGTCTCCGTGATGGGAAAAGTGGTTTCCCTAACACAGTCGCCGAATATTGATACCAAGCACTGAGCATGCCAGACGGTACCGATCTTTATGCCTTTTGGTGCAAATTTCAAGCCTTAATAGGGGTAATGGCTCTAATGTTGGCCTATGGATCTAAGATTGGGCCCACTGCAAAAAAAATCTGCTATTTATCAATCTTATCTAGCTGAACGCGTCATTGGGTCGATTGCTGAATTTATGTATGGGCCCAAATTATATGTATGGGCCCGACAATACATCCATTTCCCCTACATATTTCATTTCCAAAAACATCGAGGAAAAATTTCCACAGTATCGTTCTTAACTAGCTTCCAAGCTTCCAACCTATCGGTCCTTTTCAGGGCCACAAATGACTAATAAAAGAGTAAACTAAAGAGTAAGAGCTTGAATCCAAGACATATCGTCCAGGATTGGCTTGTACTACATGAACATCGACAGAGCACCTTACAAAAAGAAATCTCAAATTGCTTCCGAATTTCAACCTATCGGAATTTTTCACTGATAACGGGTTAAAAAATGAATTTGATATTTACTATACTTTTGCTGTGACATCATAACTACCTTTCGTAATCCTATGTCAAATATACGGTCGTGTCTTGGCTACAACCTCTTACTTTTTGGTGTTCGCTACTACAGCATTGGACTTATTATCGTTAAGGTCACTGATATGGATCGAAATTTTAGGTTTAAGTTGAATATTCATCAGAGAGAATGACGTTTCCATGCATTTGTGAGGAATTGAAAGTCGTAGGACGAATT